TTGTATACTGACTTCCCTGTGCTGATCAGACAACGTCCATACCGTTTAACACCAGAGAAGCAAGAGATTGTTAAAGAGCAAGTCAAAGAAATGCTAATGAATGGCCTCACAGAACCTCCACACTTAGCGTGGGCCTCACGCATTAGCTGCATTTCCACTATCGCGCCTAAAGCGAGCGAGCCAAGGCCAGTGACGTTTCCACTGTCGGTTCCGGGGCTTAATCGGGCCAAAGCGGGGCTTTCTTGGGGCCAGCGGCCAGCCTTTTTCGGTCCGCCAAATACCTTGGGCCAAGGAGGGCCAGCTGGGGCTTCAGGGCGGAGTGAAAGGAGAGGCGGGCAGTTTTCTGATTGCACATGAGTACATGCACCAAACAAATAAAGAAATAAGGGAAAGAAAACATCTGGCCTTATAGTCTGGGGTCTTTTTGCGTATGATCACCCTTATGTTTCCCTTTTAAATGTAAGGCTGCTGCATAAAATAATAAAGTAGTTTTATTTTATAGTGACGTTTTTTGCTGCGTCCTCCTTTGTTTCAATAGCGCATAATAATCTTTACACCATATTAAAGACACAGCAAACAGTAAAGGTTTTCGAGAGTTTTTGTCAAGTTTAAAATGTTTGTTTGTGCGCGTTAAATGCCAGTATGTATGTGTGTGAGACCGGGCAAGAGCGCTCCTTCACAGCTCTGTTATGCCACGAGTGGCTTTTTTCTTTATTTATTTTGGAGATAATACAAAATATAAATACAACAGAAAGACATAAAACTTAACAAATTACGTAAAGTATTTGGATGCGATGATATTAATCAAATAGCGCAAACAGAGCATTATTTCGGTGAGTGAAAGCAGAATCTAGCCTACACCTTTTTTTCTGTCACTCAGTCCTGCGCAGCGCTCACTGCTTTAAGCGCATCGGGGGAAAGTCCAAACACAAAATGTGTTCTATATCCTCAAACAACTTTTTATGTTTTTTATATGACCTGGTTAAATTTATAAATGAAACTTTAAATGAAGAGCTTTAGTGAATAGCTGCTGAACGCAACAAATATGGCTATATTTTAATAGGCTACTCGCTCTTGTGCTGTAAAACACTTAACACGACGTCTATCAAAACGAGGATGTTATAAAATACATGCCATATCGAGTTATAAAGGAGAATTTCTGTGGCTTTATATTATGGATGTGTGCGCTCTCTGTGTTGGTTCCCTCTGTTAGTGGCGAGAGCACTCGATGCACAATGCCAACAGTCGGTCGGCGAGTAAACAAATGTAATGAATGGAAATACACAGGTCTGTGCATATAGACATTTCATGTACTGCTGTACAGTAACGTGTCATTTGTTTGTTTCGGTTTTCTTCATTTTAATGGTTTTGTTTTGTGATAATTCTATGGTGTGCTTTATCTGCCTGTCCTGATTCCCGCTGAAGTGGGCGGGTTGTGTGACGTTTGATTCGCGGACGTTCTGTGGGCGGTGTTTGCATGACGCGCTGTGAGCTACTAGCCCGACAGTGGAAACGCGACATGATTTCGGCCTCATTTCTAAACCTCCCGGGCTATTTGCCCGGCCCGATTAAAGCCCTGGCTCGCACTGGCCGATAGTGGAAATGCGGCTAATGTCCTTGTCCCCAAAAAAGATAGCAGTATGAGGTTCTGTGTGGACTATCGTAAAGTGAACTCTATCACAGAAAGAGATGGAATCCCTCTCTGGTGCTGTCATCTTCTCCACGATTGATCTCAACAGTGGGTACTGGCAGGTAACTATGAAGCCTGGAAGTGAATCCAATCCATCCCTCTTGGGCCTATACCACTTTAAAGTTATGCTCTTTGGACTTTAAAATGACCCAGCAACATTCCAGCAATTAATGGAGTCTGTCCTAGGAGAGTTGCGGGGAAAAATGTGTTTTATGTATATTGATGACATCATCATATACTCGCCCTCAGTCACCCAACACTTTAAAGATCTTTAAAGTGTCATCACCTGGTTACACAAAGCTGGTCTGATCATTAACCTGAAGAAAAGTAAATTCTGCCAACATAAATTATCATTTCTGGGACATGTGGTGAACACCCTGGCCATTCCTGCTGATTCCATAAAAGTAGAAGCGATAAAATCCTACCCGGTTTCAAAAAACATCAAAGACGTTAAAAGATTCCTTGGATTGGCAGGGTGGTACCATATGTTTGTGCCAAACTTTCCTCAAATTGCAGAGCCTATGAACTTATTGAAGAAAAAAGGGCAAATTTTTCAATGGACACCTCAATGTCAAAAAGCATTGAAGAAATTAAAGACTTGTCTCACCTCGCCTCCCATCCTTTGACATCCTGATCTCCGACTCCCCTTTGTGGTTTCCACCGATGCCAGTGATTCAGGAGTAGGTGCAGTGTTGACACAACACAAGGCGCAAGGACAGGAGGAATTTATTGTCTATGGAAGTCGAACACTGACCAAACTGAAGGTTAATTACTCAGCTACAGGGAAGGAATGTTTAGCCATACTATAGGCCAGGGGTTTTCAAACTGTGGGGCGCCAGCGCCTGTTAAGGGGGGAGCGAGAAACTGAGGTGTGCACTCGAGTAAATATGATGTTTTTTTATGTTTACAAGAGTCAATCTGATTAGTCCCGGAGCTAACTAACAAGCACGAGGCACCTTTTGTAGTTAATGCGATCGCGTAAAACATATACAAAAAATGGACCTGTGGCTTTTCAAAATGAATGACGGTGAAGATAACACCGGTAAATTGTCTGACAAAAAAAATGACGAGTGCCCTTCTGAAGCATTAAAGCAAACAGATGACCAACCCTCCGCATCAACGGGGATCTCCACACAGAGAGGATTTACGTTCACTGCAAAAACCAAAGGCCTGTGTGCATCAAAGCAACGGAAGTATGATAAACAGTACATACAATACGATTAATAACGAACCATGTCCACAATGTGTTGTGTGTTCAGAGGTCCTTGCAAATGACTGTTTAAAACCTGTGAAACTGGTGCGTCACTTTCAGATGAAAAATCCAATGTCAAAAGATAAGCCAGTCAACTTTTTTCGATGTAAAGAATTAGCATTAAGAGGACAAAAACAAACGATGACCAGTCAACACAAGGAGGTTAGATGGCTCTCCACAGGCAAAATCCTGCAGCGTATTTTTTCATTGCATGACGAACTGAGGATTTTTCTAATTGATTGTGGATCTTCCTTTAGGAGTCGTTTTACTGACACTAAGTGGCTCACAGATTGTACATACCTGTCTGACATATTTGATTGGCTTAATTCGCTTAATTTGTCCCTTCAAGGCCTGTGTTCAAACCTACTAACAATGTCTGATGAAATTGTGGGCTTTGTGAAGAAACTGGAGCGATGGAGAGGGCAGGTGGATGCAAGAAAATCTAGAAATGTTCCTGACCTTGGATGAATTTAACAAAGAAAATGTGTTTAACCGGGATACTACTAAAACGGAAATCACTCTCCATCTGCCATCTCTGTCTGCACATTTCAATAGGTATTTTTCTGAGCAGCATAATTGGAACCAAGTTTACAAAGCGCTGGATGCCCTTCTGCACCTTTCAAGTGACCGTACTTTGAAGACACTGTTCGACTCAACCACACTCAGAATTCTGGCTGGCAGTGGATACAGAATATGCTGAACTTTCGGAACTTGAAATTGATGTACTCTTGCCTTTTGCTTCAACTTGGCTCTGCGAAGCAGCATTTTCTGTGTGTACGTACATCAAAAACAGACTCATGTATCACACTGAATCAGGTAAGCTACATGTTTAGGATTCAGTGTAATTATTATATGCACTTTAAACGCAGCAAATAATATGGGAGTGATGTTTGCACATGCTTTATAATTTTGGCTCGCTGGACAAAAAGGGAGGGGGAGCGAGTGAAATTGGCCAAACTTGGGGGGGCGTGTGTCCTAAAAGTTTGAAAACCCCTGCTAGAGGCTATCGAAAAGTGGAGACATTTCCTGGAGGCAAAACTCTTCATTATTGTCACTGATCATTCCACTCTTCAGTGGGTCATGAACTCCACGAAGACCACCTCACGTTTAATCCGCTGGCCCCTTCGTCTTCAAAAATTTGACTTTGTGGTTGAGTACAGAAAGGGAACACTGAATGAAGTACCAGGTGCTTTTATCTTGCATTCATCCCTTACCTGGTTGTTGTGTATTCAGCTATAAAAGAACTAGTATTTCCCATCACCATTGCAGAAATCTGGGAAGAGCAACACAAAGAACCAGATATAATCAAGATATTGCAGAACCTAGCAGATAAAGATTCTACTATGCATGAGCAGTTTGGGGTATTTTATGACAAGTTATATCATTGTTTCCTGTTGAAAGATACACTCAAACACTACAGAATATATATATATATATATATATATATACATATATATATATATATATATATATATATATATATATATATATATATATATATATATATATATATATACATGCCACCCTTATCCCAAATCTCCTCCAACACTACCACGCACATCCATTTAGTGGACACTTGGGTATTTACAAAACTTGCCAAAGAATACATCTCATTGCTTTCTGCCCTGCAATGTGGACATCTGTAAAAACGTACGTGAAAAGGTGTGTGATGTCTTTTCACTTTTCAGCTTTTGATGAGAGTTTTTAAGACTTAATAAAAAACTAATGTTTTATTTATTTCTTTCAGACCGCATTGAAGAGAATGAGGGGAGTAAAGAGGAGAAACATCATGTCAAAACTGAGGAAAAAAATATTTTTTTGAAAAGGAGAAACAAGAATCGTTTCACCTGTACTCAGTGTGGAAAGAGTTTGGCAAACAAAAGCAAACTTAAGATTCACATGATGATCCACACTGGAGAGAAACCATTCACATGCACTCAGTGTGGGAAGAGTTTTGACTGCTCATCACACCTTAATCGACACATGAGGATCCACACTGGAGAGAAACCATTTGCATGCACTCAGTGTGGGAAGAGTTTTAACTGCTCATCACACCTTAATCAACACATGATGATCCACACTGGAGAGAAACCATTCACATGCACTCAGTGTTGGAAGAGTTTTTACTGCTCATTCTCCCTTAATCGACACATGAGGATCCACACTGGAGAGAAACCATTTGCGTGCACTCAGTGTGGGAAGAGTTTTACCTGCTCATCACACCTTAATCAACACATGATGATCCACACTGGAGAGAAACCATTTACTTGCACTCAGTGTGGGAAGAGTTTCAGCCAATCATCATCTCTTAATCAACACGTGAGGATCCACACTGGAGAGAAACCATTCACATGCACTCAGTGTGGGAAGAGTTTTTACCGCTCATTCTTCCTTAATCAACACATGAGGATCCACACTGGAGAGAAACCATTCGCATGCACTCAGTGTGGGAAGAGTTTCAGCCTATCAACATCCCTTAATTACCACATGAGGATCCACACTGAAGAGAGACCATTCACATGCACTCAGTGTGGGAAGAGTTTTATCCGGTCATCACACCTTAATCTACACATGAGGATACACACTGGAGAGAAACCATTCACATGCACTCAGTGTGGGAAGAGTTTCAGCCTATCATCATCCCTTAATTACCACATGAGGATCCACACTGATGATAGACCATTCACATGCACTCGGTGTGGGAAGAGTTTTACCCGCTCATCACACCTTAATCAACACATGAAGAAAAACCATTCAAATGCACTCAGTGTAGGAAGCGTTTTTACTGCTCATTCTCCCTTAGTAGACACATGAGGATCCTGTGGTCACACTGGACTTTTCTCGCCATAGACTTCCATTCAGACGCACGTGAATGCATCAGACCGGAAATGCAAGTTCGTGCCTCAAGTTTCGCAGTTCATTGCCTTGCAGAGTTCAAGCTTGGTGAATTCTGACCTGCAAAATTGCATAACTTGACTGTGTGAGACCTATCGAAGATCAAAACATGACCTCTCTGGACTAGGGCTGTAACGATACACCAAACCCACGATTCGGTTCGTATCACGATTTTTGACCCACGATTCGGTTCGTATCACGATTTTTTTTTTTTTTTCGTGTGGGGTGGGCAAAAAAAATATTTTTAAAACTATTTTTTATTAAATAACATTTGAAAAATCTTTATAAACTAAACATCAAAGAACAATATTAACTATGCAAATTATTAACAATATAAATAGCCATATATAAAATAAATAAATAGCCAAAGCTATATCACTTCTGTTTTCTTTGTAACAAAATACTGTTGAAAAACCAAACAGAACTAAACTCCATTTTGTAGATGGTTCAAGCATGTTGAAAATTCTTTTTCAATCAAGTTCTCTTACATAGAAAAAGTAAATTAAATAGCTACTAGGGATGCTCATTTTGTTAATTTTGCTAACCGACAACATTAATCGGTTATTACCAGTTAACTGGTCAGATTACTGTTAATTTTATATTAAACAAATTGACGTGTCTATTTTTTGTCTGACACATTAAATATTGCATTTTAAAATACTGATTTATTTTTATATGTTAGAATATTAATAGCGGAACAGAACAACAGAGCATTTCCACGCACCTGCAGTGTTTAGCACAGAAGAGCAGAATAATCTAAATAAAATAAATAGGACTGCCCTAAATTATTTTCACTTAAATAATTAATTTATATTACAAAACGACAATACTGACTGATTCTTTTTAACAACCGGCATAGGCTTTTTTTTCCCAATCATATGTTTTTTTCTTCCGTCAAAGAAAAATCGCAGACTTCCTCAAATTGCCCGCTTTACGGAAAATATGCATTTATTTAAAGCTCCGCTGTTATTATTATAATCACAAAACCTTTTACATTTTAATAGAAATCATTATTTTAAAGATTATGTTCTGATATAGCCTATGCTTTCCTCTCTCTCCCTCGCGGTTCAAGTGCGCGCGCTGCGTGATGAAAAGACAGCAACAATGCGCGCATATGTTGACTTTTTGTAAACAGTTTTGTTGTTTAAATATGATATTGCATTAATCTGCGTACATGCTTTATAAGCTGTAAAATAAAAAGTAAAGCCTATTTGTTGCGTTTATTACGCATATCCAGGTCAACATAAGCGCTGGTTAAGCATCAACAGGTCTGTATCAAACATCAATATTCTTCTTCCATTTTGCTTCTTTGGCAAACGTGTCTGTAGGCACGGGTTACACGTTATGGTCCCGCAAATTAAGTATGCCTTGCAGTTAAACAAGGGGCGAAAACGAGGCGCACCTCACTGCCTTTATGTTGACAAGGAAAAAAGGAGAGGCGCGGTCCTCTTATGAAACGACTGAATCAGCTGGGTATCGATTGTGCAATAGTGTTGCTGTCTGTGTTGTTACAATACTAATATTTAATACTATTGTGATATTCAAGATTTGTACATATATACAGCTCTGGATAACTTAAAACAGCGATTAGACCTTCAGAGCGGCGTTAATGCGTCCTGAAGTAAATCGAAACGGCTATAAACTCCAGCAAGATAGAGTGATTATATGCAGAGCCATATACCTTTATCTCTAAATAAAGTATAGCTATAGAAACTGTGTTCATCTTAACTGAAAGCTTCGTCGTGTTTTCTGACCTCACACATCGCGCACCTGTCAGTCAGCACTCTCAAAGGTTCAAACAGAAATCGCACAGCACGGATACAGAAAAGTTTGCGCTGTTACCTGACATCTGGTGAACGCCCATCCCTCTCTGCGCAGCCACATTAACAGTGTGAGCAAATCATCGTATATGCGCTGAAAATCTGGCCGCTTTGACAGCATTGGCAATGTTTCTGGCGTTGTCTGTTGTCAAGCGGGGTTAAGTTGGTTTTGTTTTTGATATTCCTGACACATTCAGACGGTCCCTTACTAAGAGCTCCGTGCGAGCTCTTCCGGCTAAATATTGTGAGGGCTTAAACGGAGCAGTGCTTGTAATGTCGAACGAAAAAAAGTGTTAATTAGCTCAACTTTTGCTGGCACGCGTGACGTTATTGGCAAGGTATCACGGGGTGTGTCACGATTCTCCCTTATCACACCGCGACACAGGATCGTAGATCTGAGTGTCGCGATTTCGATTTTATATCGTGTATCGTTACAGCCCTACTCTGGACAGTTAGTAAAATATAGACCAATCGCTCGCTTTTTAAATGTCTGATCATCTTGTTTAATCCGGCTCCTTTTCACAGCGCTGTACAACAGTATTTTGCATGCTCAAATTCTAGTGTGACCGCAGCTTCGATGTGGGATGAGTTTCAGCAGCTCCTCAGACCTTTATTAAACACATGAAGACCCACACTGGAGGGAAACCATTCACATCTACTCAGTGTGGGAAGAGTTTTAACCAATCACCAAACCTTAATGAACACATGAAGATCCACACTGGTGTGAAAGAGTATATGTGCTTTGAGTGTGAGAAGACTTTTATTACAGCTCCAAAAACTGCACCAGACGATTCACACTGGAGAGACCGTACAAGTGTTCAAACTGTGACGAGGTTTAATCAGTTAATGCATCTCAAAACACAAAAGAGGATTCACATTGGAGAGAAACCGTACAGATCTGATCAGTGTCTACAGAGTTTCGCTCATTCGGCGCAGCTTAAGAAACACGTGGACAAAAAGTTGCACACATGACATGAATGCAGCAAAACATTTTCTCATGTGCACAAGATGTTTCATGTCTAAATAATGTTTGAATAGGCTATAAATAACAGTATAATACAGTATAATAGGTTTTCCAACACTCCTACACTGCAGTAGATGGGGATTGTAATTGTAAATGTGCCGCGCTCCTTGCATTTATGTAAACACATTGATGGCGGCTGAGAGAAGAACAGTTTCATAAACATCTGGCAAACAGCACCTCTGTAGCTTGAAATCTCGTCTACTCCACTCTCCAGTGTATTCATGTAGCTAGTGTTGTGTTGGATGATGTTCTCTGTTTGACTCCCTGAATGAGAAATCCAGATTGGAGTATTTGGTAAATCGTGATTGGATGCCTGCATTACTCATCAATGGCTATATAAAAGTAGTTGTGCTAGCTACCTCAGGACCTGTGGCTACTCAGGAGTCCTCATGTCAAGACCTGCCATCTCATTGACTCTTTAACCTTATGGTTTTGTTTTGCATTACTTATATCATGTAGTTAAAGTGTTGTTGTGATTATATCCTTAGTTCTTTATCTTCATTAGTATCCCTAGACATTTGTTGGTTGCTTTGATTGATTGTTCTATGAGTTACATTTTATAATAAATCATTTGCATTCAGGTTATTTTGTTGGCTCATCTCTCTTTTATGCTGCGACTCAAACAAGCAGGTAATAACATTTTGTTTAATGTGTCCGGTTGTATCCGAGATCTTGTCCTTTCAGTCATGACCATAGCTGAGAGTAGGTACTTAGATTACCTTTCGTCTCAGCTCCTTCACCACAACAGACACTGCATTACTGCTGCCTTTGCACTGATCCATCTTTTAATCTCATATTCCATTCCTCATGGCAAAAAATGCAGATAATTAAACTCCATTTGGGGTAAGGACTCTTTGCCAAACTGGAGATGGCCAATGTTTTTTAGTCAAGCATTATTGTTTCTGACTTAGAGGTGCTGTTTCTTTCCCTGCCATGTCACACTTAGCAGCAAACCGTCCCACTGCATGCTGAAGGTCCATGTCCATAGTACCCGCGGGGTCTTAAAAGCATTGAAAAACTCTTAAATTTCATAATCTCAAATGAAGGCCTTAATAGCCTTGAATTTTGTAAATAAAGTCTTGAATTTTATTACAAAGGTCTTAAATTTATTAATTTATTTTTGCCTTTCCTAGGATTAAGTTCATACCGTAACAAAATGAACTGTTACTAATGTAGGCTAATTAAAAATTCATGCAGCGTAACGTTGAGTGCACCTCATGCTCCACGTCATAGCAGAAAGCGTAAAAGCATGCGCACCCATCATATGGTTACTTGAGGTGAGGTACAGAACAAGATAGTCACTAGCCAAGTTTGTCGGCTAAAATGGCAAAGTGTCACTGTGGCCAAGGAATTCAAATTGAGTTTGGGTTAAGCCTGTGCCAGGAAATGACCGCGACGCCTACTGCTGTTGATGCCGGAAATCTTTTGAGCAAACGATAGCGTCAATGGGTGTTACGGCCCTGGACTCCCATATCGGGGGTTGCCAAACCCACCGCGTGTAGTGCTGCTTGTCAGTGCCAACCACCTGTTGTGCAGTTCTGTGCAGCGGAAACCTCTTTGATTACTGAAACAGCTTTAACAATCAGTAATGAAGAAATTTCTACATTAGAACAATGACAGTTTCTTCTTCCTGTTTTACAGTGGTCGCTAACAAAGTTTTTGATGCGTTATTGCCACCTCTCGCTCTGGTTGGTGATGTCACCAAACAATCATTGTGCTGACACAAGAAACTTGCTTGATTGAAAGATGACAGAGAGAGATTAGAGTTGTAAATATATATACAGTATAATGCTTATTGCAAAGTATTTCCCTTTACTATAAATGACTATAGTATTTTAATTGTGTAACACCTGTTTTTTTTTATTTTTAGTTTTTGCTGTTATATACTATAATTTGTTTCAGTTTGGTACAACATAATATTTACAGTAAATAACTGAACTAAATTATTTTTCATTGACAGTTTTATTGATCACTAAGATATGATTGACTTGGATTTAACTTGCTTCGATTTAAATATGAAAATTGTAAAAATAGCTTGGATGTAGCTAGGCTACTTTTGCCAAGGAGTTTATAGCTTAGCTTGATACATTTCTAAGAGGTAAGCTTTTAAGTAGAGTAGCTAATAGCTTAGCTCATTACATTTTTCAAGTAGCTTGCCCAACACTGCCACCACAGCAAAGGAACAT